ATCTTTCGTTTTACAAAAGAAAAGAGTTAGGGAAACTTGTGGTATCAGGTTTTCCACTTATACTACACATTCCAAAATATGTAANAGCAGAGCTATTTGCAAGCATCTCGTTAATTTTAGTAACGAAGATGTATCGTCTAGTAATTCATCCACAAATTCCATGACTTTACCATCGTTCCACAACTTATATGCTTGAAAATTATCTCATAAATTATTTAAGTGCTATAGACAAAAGTACATTTTGATTCACATATCTTAGAAATAATATACCGCTTTTAAAAAATAAAAATAACTTACGTAGTCTAGAGGGCTCAAACTTTCGTTTGGGCCATATAAAAAGGAAATCCTTTTGCCACTTATGATCTAGAAAAGTAGAATTCCAAAACTATAAACATCAGATTTTGTAGAGTACATGCCATTTCTAGCATATTCAGGAGAAACATAACCATTGCATTTGATAATTACAAAAGCAATGAAAAAGGGGATATATTAAACAAGCCAAAAATCTTGAGAAATAATATAGCATTAAGAGTATAGACACATACTTTGTTCCAACAATACAGCTTGTGTTTGCTTCAATATCATCTTTTGCAAATATTCTAGGCATTCCAAAATATGATATTTGGGGTTTCAATTCTCCATCTAATAAGACATCGTCAACCTTTAAATCTCGATGAATGATATTTAACCTTGAGTATTCTTAGAGATATAAAAACCTTTGAGTAACGCCTTCAATGATATGTACAAGCTTTTTCTGAATCAGTCAGTTAAAGAAAATAAAAATGATCAATCGGGCATCGTTTTTTTCTTCTTCTTTGCTTACCCTACCAAAATCCCTTCCCGGAAGCGAGTTTCCATTTTCTTTTTGACTTGATATGAAGGTGAGCTTTTCCTTGACTCTTGACTAGGGCTATTAATTATGAGCCGAGCCGAGCCGAGTTTTTGGCTTAACGAGCTCGGCTCGTGAAAAAGAAAAAGAATTTGAACCAAGTCCGAGTCGAGCCGAGCCTTTAATTTCCTGACTCGGCTCGACTCGTAAAGAGAAAAAAAAAAAATTCAAGCCTGGCTTGCGAGCCAGCTTAACGAGCTGAGTTAGAGCCAGCTCGCGAGCCAATAGAAAGCATACAATTTTTTTTTTTAAATTCGGTGCAGATTTTCTCTCTCTCATTTATTAGTTATTACTCTTTCTTTTCTCTCTCTCATTTATTACTCTTTCTCTTTCACTTCTTTTCCCATCTGATTTATTATTACTTTCTTCTTTTCTCTCTCCAGACTACAATGGAGCACGTTTCTCTCTTCTTCTTCTTTTTTCCTTTCTTCTTCCTTTTTCCCTTGCTCTCTCCAGTCTCCACCAACGAAGTTATTTTCTTCCTCTTCTCTTTTGTTACTTATTACTTTTGGCTTTCTCTTCTTTTCTCTCCCTCTAATTACGCATGTTTTTCCTATTTCTCTTTCTTTCTTTCATTCTTTATCCTTGTTTCCCCTGCACTCTCCACCAACTCTGATTTTTTTTCTTCTTTCTCCTTGTTTCCCTGCACTCTCCACCAAATCTGACGTCGACAACTTGCCTAAAATGGTTTGGTTTTGTTTTGTTTTAGGGGAAAGGACTTTATTCACGTTTTTAGGGATTTTAACATTAAGGTGTTCTTTGTCATTTTTGTAAACTTTTTGTTTTTAAATTTCCAGTGTAATCCCCTATACTTAATAAAACCCTTAAAACACCCTTAATAATTCGAGCCTGACTCAGCTCACGAGCCTAACGAGCCGAGCTCGGACTCTCTCACGAATCAAGCTGAGCCGGCTCGATTCCAGACGAGGCGAGCTGTTAACGAGCCGTACTCGAGCCAAGCCGAGTCGGCTCGCAAGCGGCTTGCCTCGTTGAACAGCCCTACCATTACTTACACCACTCAAGTTGGGATTTAAGTATCATTTGGGTTAGAACTGATAAAGTTATATGAATAATGAGAGCTAGAAAGATACATTAGAACAGTTATATTTACCTATATATTTTAGTAGCGAAAATCAAATTAAGTTAAAATTAATTATTCAATTTGAAATTTTTATTATTAAATGAATCTCAAAGAAAAGATGAAAGGATTTGTGTATTTGAAGAAAAAATTAAAGAAGAATCAAGAAGAAAGAAGAAAGAATACGTGACTGAGTAACTGTATTTTTTCTGTTTCTATTCATTTAAAAACAAAATAAGCTGTACATATCTACTTTTATAGAAGCATTGTAAAACAAAGTAAAACAAAACGCAGTGTTTTAAAACTTTGTCTAAAACGCTGCGTATTACAAACATGATAACAGTAACAGGTTAATGCTTTTAGCTACTTCCTTGCTCATTCTCTGCTCAATATCTTCCCTCAAAACATACTTCTCTTCATCTCATTCTCTGCTCAATAAAAGAAATCAAGACTGAAAAGCGATAATTGTTGGAAGTTTTATTACTTTCTGACATACTTAATTTTGTTATAGGATAGAAATTTTTTGTTTGCTTTATATATACGATTACTCTTGGTTAATTAAAACACTGTCATATGAAACATTGAAAACATAGAAATAAATCTATAACGAATTATTCATACTTTCCTTGCATATAAACAATCGTTTAGGGGGTGTTTGTCTAAGCTTATAAGCTGGTCAAACTTGCTTATAAGCTTTAAAATTAAGCTGACCTGTTTGTTTATAATTTTTTTGAGCTTATAAGTTGAGCTTATAAGCAAAAAAAAAATAAGTTGGGGGGGAGGTACTTTTTTTTTCTGCTTATAAGCTAGTTTGACCAAGTATATTATCACATTATCGCCCTTGTTATTTTTAAATTCGCTAGTATACCCATTGTTTAATGTAGTACCCTTTTTAGTTTATTTTATAATAAAATGTACTTATAGGCCACATTTTTACACACACATCAACTACTTATCAGTCACTTATAAGTCTTTAACCAAACAGTAATTAGCCCCCCATGCTTAAAATTTCAAATGTTTATAAGCTAATTTTCATAAGCTCCAAGCAAACACCCCTTAGTCTTAGTTTCACGAATCAAAGGTAATCCAAAAACGACACATAATAATCACATAGCAGTCGAAGGAACAACAGTGTCTGACTTGCTAGAATTTGATGATATTATCAATTAATAATTTTGGTGATCTAATTAAAAGCTACATTATAATCTCATCTAGCTAACACTCTGAAACTGTTACATCATTAATTGATGAAGTGCTCCCCGAATAACCTTCCATGTCGTGCAGTTTTATTTTGTAAATTTTGTTCTAAGAAGCAGGCTTCTTGGAATCATCATATCGTGCTTTCATTTTTAAGCATTGTAAAAACTTCCACTGGAAGGTCGATCAATTGGATTTTCTTGTACCATAAGAGCTATTTGCAAGCATCTCACTAATTTACAAGATGAATATGTATCATCTAGTGATTTGTCCTAATTCCTCATCTTTACCATCATTCCATAGCTCATATGCCTAAAAATTATCAAATAATTTATTCTATTCTAAGTACAATATGATTTACAAATTAAAACTAATGAATAATTTTAAAGATATTAACTTACATATTCTAGAAGGCTTAAACTTTCATTCGAACCACACAAAAGAGAAATCCTTTTGCCACTTATGATCTGTAGAAGTAGAACCCAAACTATAAACATCGGATTTTGTAGAGTATCTCTTTCTAACATATTCAGGAGAACATAACCACTGCATTTGATATTACCAAAAGAAAAAACATAAATTATATTATATTTATAAAAGAAGCAAAATCTTGAGATAATAATATAGAATGAAGATCTAGTATATACTATATCCACTTGCAATATTCCAACCACTTACAGTGTTCCAACGATATGTCCTGTATTAGCCTCCAGATCATCTTTTGCAAATATTCTAGCCATGCCAAAGTCTGATATTTTTGGCTTTATATCTTCATCTAACAAGATATTACTCACTTTTAGATCTCGATGAATAATAGTCAATCTTGAGTATTCTTGAAGATATAAAAGGCCTTGAGTAATTCCTTCAATTATTTGAACACGTTTTTTCCAATCCAAAGCATATAGTCTAATAGGGTCTGCATATATAAATCAAATCATAAACAACCAATAACAATGTAAACTAAATGGCTGACACAAAGATTAAGATTGCAAATAAAATTCTAACCAAAAAGGTAAGAGTCTAAGCTTTTGTTCGGCATATATTCGTAGACAAGTATCTGTTCATCTTCGTCAATGCAAAATCCCAGAACTCGGAGAAGATTTACATGTTGGAGCTTTGCAGTAAGCGTAACCTCATTCTTGAACTCCTCAAATCCCTGAGTCGATGCTTTTGCAAGTTTCTTCACTGCTATTTGTTGTCCATTTGACAGTACACCCTGGCAAAATACACACTTGATAAGCACAAGCTCTTAAAATGATAAAAATCATAATAAGGTACGGTACCTTGTAAACAGGACCATATCCACCCTGTCCAAGCTTATTTTTTATTGAAAATCCGTCGGTAGCTGCCTCAATAGCAGCCAAAGAATATTCTATCAGATTAGGAACATTGCTATTAAAATCTCTAGCTGCTACTGCTTTATTTACTTCATCAATATTGGGATCTTCACTGGAGTCTCTCATCCCTGTCAACCAACAGAAACATAAGAATTGCAGAAAAAGGAACAAAAAATTTGATACTGCTAAATTCTTCCTTCATTGTAAAAGGAAAAAAGAAGGGACAACATTGAAATAGTTTTAAATGAAACAATAGTCATATATATTGTGAGAAACTTACCATTTAATATGAGCTTTCTCCCCCGGCAGTAAAATATCAAAATTATTCCTAGTAGTAGAATAACAGCCGCTGTTGTAGGCAAAAGGATTACTAAAATAATCCTCTTGTTTTGTGACTTTTTATTATCTTCTTGAGCAGAAGAATTATTTATATGCGCCTCACCTGGAATATACTCAGCTGTTCGTGTAATAGTTCTATACAGTAAAATGATCAATAAAATTACAAATTACAATGAGTGAAGCATAATTTCTTACTTGCAGCAGCTTCAGAAAGTGCCCAATTATCATCAAAGGAGACTTGCCACGCGACGTAGCCAAGCAGCCCCTTCTCCTTGGCATAAGAAACCTTAGCTTTAATGGCCTCAACATCATCAAAGTTAATCCAAGATGTTCCAATTGTGAAGTAATTCACAACATAAGTTTCGTTATATATGACTTGAACATTAGGACCATGTCGCTGTATCTCATCCTTGATCTCCTTGTAGGTCAAAAAACCATATGTTGTTTTATTAGCTGGTCCTGCTGCTGGAGCACCAATACTGTCATCCTTAGAGTTCACAAGCGTCCATTCACATCCATAGAAAGGTAATAAGAGAACCAACTTATTAGCTGATAATCCTGCGTTAATCCATTCCCTTATACCATAATCTGTATTTTTAACACCAGCTGGGTCATACAAAGCTGCATTAACGCCAGTAAAGTTGTACCGGCCCGGACGACTGTACTCAGAAGCTAGCACATGAACCCAATCCAAATATTGTGCTATTGAGTTTACAGAGTAAGTGCTTCCCGAAGGCGTTGATGTTGAATAATAAACCGCTGCGGTGAAGATCAGTTCTGACTGGCTAGAGTTTTTCGCCTCCAGTTGGATAGCAGCTCGCCACTCTTCAAAGAGAATGCCCATATTGAACATGTCAGACTTTGTGATTACATAATACCAGAAAAAGTCGAGGCCTTGAAAACCGTAAAGCCTAGCTACCTGTATTGAGGAGTCAATAAAGGATTTTCTGTAAAACGAGTTGCTTACCATTGAGACGTGTTGGAGTTGTCGACTACTTCAGCATTAATGGGTAACGGAGACGCACTCGGGGGTCCCGCTGGACGAGAGAGGTGAGGCATATTGCAATAATATTGACTCAGTTGGACGTAGCCTACATTGGGTGAACCAGGGTAAATCGCGCGTATTACATTCTTTGTTTACTGTTTGTTTTGTTTAACTATTATTATTTTGTTCATGTTGCTTCTCTATTTCGTTCAAGACGAAGGTTGAATAATTTGCATTCTCGTTCCCAATGGATAGCAGTGTGATGACTGATGGATTCTTTTGTTTCACAGTGTCTGTAAAGATGGAGAAGCATTTTTCAGACGATAATAAAGAGAGTTGGTAGGTGGTGGAATTGACAGCAGCAAAACCACTGACAAGGTGAGTGAAAGAGAAGAATTTATTTCTGAAACTTTCATATACTGCGCCGAACAATCATAATAACCAGCCCTGACCAAATCCTGGGCATTGGAAGGACGCATTTGAAAAAAGAGGAAAATATGGAATACAAAAATGAGAAAATTGGATTCCATTAGAAACGCTGTACGTTTTGAAAGCTAACTTAGTATGTATTATCTCTTCTAAACGAGTCTTTAAATACTCTTCACCATGTTCCTTAATTATTTAATGAATTCTAGATTTTTTATTACCAATTAATTTCAGGTCCACACGAGTTACGTAGTATATAAGTAAAAGAATAGTAACTTAAGAAACGACCAAATAGTTACAATCAACTCCTAGGTTCAATAATGCCTTGCGACAAGAACAAATTTGGAGTATTCATAACCCCTTGACTACGTTATAAAAACTTACCAGCATAATAAATTAATTCAGCCTACCTAGTTGAGAGAGCACAGCATACATATCTATAAATTAACCGAGAAAAATAGGCGCAAATTAGGGAAAAGTAAACTAAGAAAATAACTGCTGACTTAATACTGCAATACATCTATGCTTAACAGAAAAAAAAGTAACATGGCTTAAACATAAAAATAATTAACACCAAGAATATGTGTACTCAGCTCTGGCGCGCAGCTTCAGTATTAACTCCAGCAGTAGGGAAGATGGGCTATTATTAAAAACTTGTTAGCTCAAGGGTGGTGGAGGCGTGGAGCCACTTTAAGTTTGTCTCTTGATGTAGCAAACCGAGTTGCTCTCTGATAATGTGCGTTAATTTTAATATTGGTTAGCATGAGCATGAAAGACTGGATTTCAAGCCAATGAGCCCGCACTAAGTGTTGGATATATTTTATACTTCTTTTAGCTTTGACGGATTATTGGCTTATGCCGACTCATTCAAGGGTCCCAAATGGGGTTAAGTTTTCTAATATTTGGGTATGGGTTAGGTTAGATCGGGTAAGCCGTCGTTATACCTTGCAAATTTTGGTACTTGTTAGAGTATGCGTTTTAGTCATTGAAGGATAAATCTGTAACTTCAGTTAGACAAGGGGTAAATCTGTAATTCTAGTCTGACTAACCAGTTGACTTGTTGACTGGGGTCAGTTTACTTTTTAACAAACTTTTGTAACAGTATTTGTTAATCAGATTTTACGCACACAAATATTCAGACTTATTTTCTCTCGTTTTCTCGCGTTTTCTCACACTTTCTTGGCACTTTTCTTAGCTGCCTTTCTTTCAATTTCAAGCTCTCATTTGGTGTCAGAGCCATTGACAAACGTCAATAATGGCCGATCAAACTTCTTTTGTTTCTTCCTTTGACAGATCTGAAACAAACCCAAACTCAAAATCTCCCACTAGCTCAACTAATCCCAGAAATTCCTCTGGTTTTTCATCATCCACACTTCCAATTATCTCACCCAAGTTAACGAGAGATAATCACAAATTCTAGAAGTCTTAAATAATCTTTGCTATCGGCTTGCACGATCTTGAGGAGCATCTCACTGGTTTGGTTCCTTGCCCAGCTCCTTTCATTAGAGTTCAATCGAAAATTTCAAGCTCTAAGGTAATCAAGAAATCTAATCCTGAGTATACTTTGTGGAAGAAAACTGATAAACTTCTAGTTAGTTGGTTGCTGTCTTCGATTTCAGAATCAATGTTTACAGTAATTGCTAAATGTCAACATGCTACTGAAATCTGGATAACACTAGAAAAGGAATTTCTTACTGAATCTAGAGCCAAAACATTACATGTTAAGAGTTTGTTACAGAACACTAAGAAGGATAGCCTTAGCATGCATGCCTATTTTCTAAAGATGAAAGGATTTGCTGAGAATCTGACTGCTAGTGTGGTTAGTGTTACGGATGAGGAACTACTGAATTACATATTAGATGGTCTTGACTCAGATTATGATGTTGTTGTAGTCAATATAACCTCTAGGTTAGAGTCTAGACTAGAACCAATCTCTATTCAAGAAGCTCAAATCATCCTGCAAAAATTTGAGCTAAGACTGGAAAAGGCAAATTCTGCCCTAAATTCAGTTGTTCATAATGAGTTCCATGGAGTCTCAGCTAATATTGCCAATCTTGCTATAGACACCAGCAATAAGAAATCCCAATTATCTCAAGATGCTCAAAACCTTGCAGAAAAACTTCAGTACAATACCTTACCTCAAACTGATCAGCTTTATAATTTCCCTTCACCATATACCCTATCTACTCAAAATCAAACCATGTCTACACCCGGATATGCTCAAAATTCATTTTATAGTCAACAATTTCATAGTGGTTATTCTGGTGGTAGAGGTAGAGGTAGAGGTAGGATTGGAGGAAGAAACAGATTTGTTTGCCAAGTATGTGGAAAAACTAGGCACCTTGCACTAAATTGTTACCATAGGTTTGATGTTCACTTTACAGGACAACATTCCTCCTCTCCTGGCTTTACAAACAGTTCTCCTAACTTCACACACAATCCTGGTCCTGCTAATATTGCTGGTTTCTCTAGATCACATGAGTTCAGCCAAAACAACTACTCACCCGCAGCTCATCATAATTACTCACAGAATGCTAATCTTGGAACTTATGTGCAACCCTTCAAAAATCCATTCCCTCAACACACCATAGTGTCACATACACCTACTCCTAATGTCAGTTCTCCATTAAGTACAGGTTCTACAGGAGGGCAGAACCAGGCCTTCATAACACAATCACAACCCTATTTGCCTACCTTTGTAGCAATCAATTATATAGCTACACCCTCTACTATTCAGGATGCTGTGTGGTACATGGATTCTGGAGCTACAGACCATGTGACCTCTGACTTTACACAGTTGACAGCAAGCTCTAACTACACTGGTGGTGAGTAGCTCCAAGTTGGTAATGGTGAGTTATTATCTATCTCCTATATTGGCTCAACTATTTTACCTACTGCTTTACAGCCTTTACACCTTAGGAATGTGTTATGTGTACCTACCATTACCAAAAACCTGCTTAGTGTGTCTAAGTTAACTAGGGATAATCCTGTGTTTTTTGAGTTTTATACTAACTATTGCGTGGTTAAAGACATAACCTCCAGGACAATTCTGCTTCAAGGGGTACGTAAGGCTAGTCTGTATCAACTTCAGATTCCAGCTCAGTCATCTCTTCACTCCTCTCCAAGCTTGGTTGTCTCTTTTAATTCCAAGCTTGCTAATAAGCCTGATGTTTCTTTGTCTAATCAGTTTACTAAGTCTAATAATGTTACTTCAAATAATAAGTTTGTTTTTGCTCCTATTTCGAATATGTTCAGTTCAGGTTGTAATGCTCAGTTTACTCATTTGAATAATGCATGTACTGAAACGTTAATGACTAGCAATGTATCCAATTCTGATGTTGTAACTGTACTCAATAAAATTCATACTTTTGAATCATTTCCTACTCAAAAAACTAATCTTATGTTGTGGCACAATAGTTTAGGACATCCTAACATTTCAACTCTCACTAAAATCCTTAAAGACTTGAATCTACCATATTCTGCCACAAATTATGATCCCTTCTGCCAAGCCTGCCAGTATGGTAAATTACACCAGTCAGTTTATCCTAGGTCTACTTTTCAGGCCCTTAAGCCACTTGATATAGTGTACTCTGACCTTTGGGGACCTTCTCCAGTACCTACACCTGAAGGTTTCAAATACTACATACATTTTTCAGATGACCACAGTAGGTTTACATGGATTTTTCCATTAAAAGCTAAATCTGAAACCTATACACTGTTTACATAGTTCCATAAGTTAGTTGAACGACAATTTGACACTACACTCAAATGTGTTCAAATTGATTGGGGTGGGGAATATAGAAGTCTAGTACCTTATTTTAAGGCTCATGGAATCCATTTTAGGCAATTGATACCATTGCAGAATGCTTTGCCTGTGCCTTCCTAGAATTATCCCTTAACTGTTGGTGGATTACTGATGAATCAAAACAGCTTACCTGAAGCTATAAATCAGCTTAGTTAGGACAATATTCCTTCCTATAGACCTTTTGGCTATGTTGGTAATGGTAGAGGAAGGGGTAGAAACACTGGCAAAGGTAAACCAATTTGCTAAGTATGTGGTAAAATGGGCCAGGCAGCCATTCAATGCTATCATCGTTACAATTCCAGTTTTAATGGTTTTGCACCTCAGTTCAATAATTCTGGTTACTCTGGTGGTGCTCTAATGTCTAGTTATTCTGAGGGTTATTCTAGTGGTGCTCCAATTTCTGGTGGTGATGCTCCATTGTCTGGTTACTTTAGTGGTGCTCCAATGCCTGGTTATTCTGGTGGTGCTCCTGTTTCAGTCCATTTCAATGCATCATCACCACAGCAGCAATTTCCTGGTTTCTCTCAAGATTTTGTGCCTAATCTTGACGGCACTTGTGCTAATCCATCCGGGAACATTTTGGGCACCAAGAATCAACTATATGGTTCTCATACACAACAACATGGGAGTCATAATTCACAGTCTCCATAGCATCAATTCATTGATCAGCAAAAGCACTATTCCTACTCAACCCAACAGCCAGACTTTAACGTTTCGAGTCCATAAATGTCATCCCCAAGCCAAGCCTACTTTG